CTTTATTCAAAGGCAAATCCTAGCTGTGTGGGAGTCTAATAAATCATCATTGAATACAGAAGGGATTCAGCTGAAACCTGTGCAGTCTCAGATGTACAGCCAACACTGCAGCACTGTGCATCAAGCCTTTGCAGGTTTACTGCTCTAAATATATCAAGTCCACCTGGGAAGGCCATCACCCATGGTGCCTTGCAGTCTCTGAGGCCCTACTACATGAAATGTCCTGGTCCATAATCACAGTGATTTCACTAAGCACACTTTCCATTCACTCTTTCCCTGACTATCAAGCTCAAGAGATCAAAAAACTGCAGAGAAGCAGGTGAAGGATCAGTGGAATTTCATAGCAAAAAAATCACTGCTGGCACACGGATCAAAGGGGGAAGATTGGTGTGTTCTGGGAAATAACGCACCCCTTCAGTTAAACGACCTGAAGTCTGGGAAGATGAGAGTCAAGTGGGTGCATTTCCTCCAAAATGGGCCGTATGTAGCCATTTATTTAGGCAGCAAGATCTTTGGGCTGTAAAGTAGTGACATTAAGATTAATAAAGTTGAGAGGAAAGGGGCCATGACATGGCTGAAATCATTTAAAGAACAAATATTTATTGAGCATTTCAAGTCAGACAGAGAGAATGCCACATGACAAGACAGAGTCTCTGTCCTCATGGTCGAGTGTGGAAGACAAACCAACAAGCCATTGTAGTAGTGTGCTCAGTGCCAGAAGGAAGCAGTGTGATAAGAAAAATAGGAGGGGACTCAGATCTAGTTTGGCAAGTGGGGAACAGGACAGCTCTTCTTAAAAGATGCTATAGGTAAATGGAGGTCAGAAATACGTTGATGGCCCATCAACACGTTGCTACACTTATAGAATGGGGATGGCATCTTCCTATGAAGGTATCCCTGTGAAATGGGGCTGATAGTTGCCTACTTAATGCGAGTAAAAGATGGCTCATATAACCAAAGATTTACTCTGTTGCCAAATCCGTATGGACAATAGAAGAGGTTATTACATAAATTTTAGAAAAAAGGCAGAATATTAGTCTTAAAAAGAAAATAGAAGCTCATGGGTAGTTAATTTGCATCATTTAGAAAATCTAGGCTCCTCGAGGGAGTTTGGAATCATCTAGTATCAGTTCTGTCACCATCAGGAATATGCCTAAATCAGTCTATGCGGTTGTGAATTGTCATCATTATTCAGTAGACTCAAATACAGCAGGCAGGTTGCCTCTGTCCACTTCTGTGACCAATGATAATCTCTGTGGAGTTGCTTGGCTTCTTCCTTGGCTTGTCTTTTCTTTGGAAAATGAGAATGTTGGATGAGAACAATGATTTTCAAAAACTTTGTTACTACAATCCACAGTAAAAATAGTCATTTTACATGCTGACCTGATAACATATCCATCTTTATTAATTTCAATGCATTTGCTATTTTTCTATTTCATTCTAATACATTTCTTTTAAGAAAATTGCTGGTAGATCCACTAAGCTAATTTCATGTCTCATAGTTTGTAACTTATAGTCTGAACAATTCCAGACTAGATCATCCCTGAGGGGCCTTCCTACCCCAATTATGGAAATCATCCTCATTATCACCTAATATCTACCACACAGGGGCTGTCTCCTATGATCCTTAAAGCAGTAGTGTAACACGGACAGAGGAGCTTACGAGATTCATCACAGATCCCGCGGCCAGAGCATGACACAGCTGGTGCCAGAACCCAGTGAATGCACAATAGCAGCAATGCTTGCCCTGGTTGGCACCTCTTCTCTCAGAGAATTCCACCTCCTGACCACCCTCTGTCATACAGCTGCAACTTAAATGCCACTCCTAATCTGTCAAAATGAGATGCAAATCTAGTGAACACATTCCAAGAATTTAATGTTAATTTTTATATTAATGCCCTTGCTAGATCTTTTAGGCACTACCCCATGCCAAATGCAGGTGGATGGAACTCATTCCCTGGCCTGGAAGGGCTCTCCTTCTAACAGAAAAAAATCCACCCACAGACCTGAACACTAAGCATGGCACTGAAGACTCTTTCAAAACTGCACTTCCATTTTGCTTCCGCAGTAATAAGCTCATTGTTCTATTTAACCTCAGCACTATCTTCCCACCTGGCTGATGGAAAATACCAAGGCTCAAGCCTTCCGTGGAGACTCTCTGAGCACCGGAGACCAACAGAACAGCCAGAGGGTGGCACTCCAGCGGGAAGAGAAGGGCACTCACAGCACCTCCCAGGAAGCACTCCCTCTGTTGCTCCCCTTCTGTCCCTAAGGGTAAGTGAATAGGGGATGCCAACAGGCTGTCAGCCTCCTTCTAGATACCCTTCTCATCCTAGACAAGACAATCAACTGACTTCAGAAAAGACGTTGTTTAACATCATGGAAAGGTCAGGTCCCTAGATTTATGGATAACACCTGTATTAGTCTGTTCTCACACTGCTGTGAAGAAATACTGAAGACTGGGTAATTGATAAGGAAAAGAGGTTTGATCGACTCACAGTTCCACATGGCCGGAAAGGTCTCAATAAACTTACAATCCTGGCAGAAGGCACCTCTTCACAGGGTGGCAGGAGAGAGAATGAGTGCCAGCAGGGGAAATGTGCCAGGCACTTATAAAACCATCAGATCTCGTGAGAACTCACTCATTATCACGAGAACAGCATGGGGGAACCACGCCCGCGATTCAATTACCTCCTACAGGGTTCCTTCAACAACACGTGGGGATTATGGGGATTACAATTCAAGTTGAGATTTGGATGGGGACATGGCCAAACCATATCAACAACTTATTTATAGTACTTGGGAGAAAAAATTTTACATCAGAGGCAAACGACAGGGGCAAGAGTGATTTCAGGGGACCAAAACCCAGGTTTTAAAAAAAGACTTAAAGATCTTCCTTCATTTTCTTAACTACTCACAAAGCAGTAAGTGCTGGTTAGTAACATGCCGGTACTTCTAAGGCAATTATTTTCACAATGATTGAAACCTGTAGTGGAAATTTATTGTTTTGCTTTCCACATCCATTCCTCCTCTTTCTGATGACAGTATCCATATTTACTGGATCCATATTTACATCCTCCCATATTTACTGGGAGGATCTATATTCCCTTTATTCCAAGTCAGATGGTGTGGGTGACCCTACCTTAAACCCTATTTTAACTCCAGGGGTGGGCTCTGACTGGCTTTAATTACTGGTGATTGGTTTTGGTTGGGGACTGGGAAGAGCGAATCTAATCAGAGTCAATAAGGCAGAAGGATTCGCTTTCTGAGGCGTCAGAGAAAGAGTCTTTTCTCTTCCACAAGAGCTACCAGAAAAAAGTATCTTTCTATTCCTGGATGATGTGGTGTGAGAACAGGAGATGGAGGACTGTGGCAATAATGAGGTGAGAGACTTCACTGGCTAGAGCTTGAGGATGAAGCTGACCTTGCAGAGGCAGAGTAGAGAGCCAGAGAGAATCTGCATCTTGAGCAACGCCATCTGGGCTTCTGGTTCAACCCTTCCTCTAGATTCTTTAAAGGAGCCTTTGTGGGCTTAAGCCAGTTTGTATTTTCTAATGCTTACTAGCGAAGTAATTCAAGGTGATAACAAACACCTTGAACACTTTGGAAAGTGGTAGTGTCCAAACAATTTGAGGTTTCTTTTGGAAAGAGCAGGAGTCCAATGTGATAGAGGTTGATTTTTTTTTCCTTAGCTGCTTCTATTAATTCTGCAGGAAACAATCACAATACTTCACATTATATAGTTGCTCCTACTTCTCAAAAACATCTTTTCCACACAGATTGCCTCACCTGAATTTCACAATCCAGAGTCAGAGCAATTATAAAACATTTTTTATTTTGCAGTAATTGTTATTCAGCACTTTCTACAGTTTAAAATATGATTTCAAGTTCAGTGATTCATTTTATTGTCATAATAACCAAATGAGATAGAAATGTTGAGTCTATCATATCTATTTTAGGCTGGAGAAAGTTAAGCCTCAGATAAGTTCAATGAGATGTGTGAGTTAATTTGAGGAGGTAGGGGGAGACAGGACTTAAATCTCAGTCTCGTGCTTCTATTTCTCTCACCCAATCCTCTAAACCAAATATACTAAACTCCATTCCCAGAAACAAATACAAAAGGGCTAGCGGTGGGTTGAACTTGACCAAAGCATTGGAGATCTGGATTCCAGTGGCAGAGCCAGAACTAACTAGCTGGTGACCTTGGGCAAGTTTCCTTTGTCTTTTTTGTAAAAGAAAAGGTTTAAACTAGGATCTCTAATGCTCCTGCAAGCTCTAAAATTTCTGTAAGTCTAGAGTTTTCCGTCCTTTCTCTCAAATTAATTTTTTTCCCAGAATAATAATCACAACCTTATTTATTCTCCCACTGGGTACCAGGCACTGTGCTAAGGTACCCCCATTTTCTACTCCCTTTTTCTCTTTAGATCTCACAACATTCCTGAGACAATTATATCTCTTTTACAGATAAGGAAACCTGGACTCATGTAGGTTAAATGAACTGCCCCAGACCAGCAAAATTAGTAAGCATCAAGCAGAGAGCTGACCACAGGTCAGACTGACCGCGAGGATCTAAACCTGGTCTATGTTGTTATTGCAGAAGAAATTAGGCTCCCTGCATTACTGGTCGCCTCTCTCCGCGCATAAAAGGGAGAGGAGGGACAAGAAAGCCAAACCAAGTCACAAGCCCCTGCAAGGCAAAAACAGAAAAACCGCTGGAAGGGCTGCCGGGAGGATCCTTTCCAGGTCCAGGGGGCGGGGCGCAATTTTCCGGCAGCCACGGGACCGCAACGCGGGCAGTCCTGCCCTCGGGCCCATTACCTTGTTGAGATGAGGGTTCCTGGTGACATCGTATCCGCGCTTCTTCAGGGGCACAGGGCGCGCCGGGCCGGGCTTGGAGTGGCAGCCTTGGGCGGGCGTGGAGGGTGCCCAGCGCGGGAGGGCGCCGCAGGCCCGGCCCGGCCAGGGAGCCAGCCGCGTGCCTGTCCCCAGCGCGGCGCCCATAGTCCTTGTGCAGACCTGGCACGGGAGATAAAGCAAGGTCAGGGCCTCCTTCCAGCCAGCCAGGACCCACGCGCGCTGCGGGGCACCGGGCCTGATCCGGGGACGCCCCCTCTGGGAGAGGGCAGGGGCTCCCAAAGGGTTAAAGGCTCCAGCCCCCGCCACTCCTCGGCTGCCACCTGGTCGGCTCCGTGCGGTGCGCCAGGCCTAGCCAAGAGCCAGGCAAAGCGAAACCAAGCCCTGGAAGCAGATCCGGTGCGGGTGACAGCCGGCGCCACCCCCGCCCCCATCCCTGTGAAAAACAGGCGACTGCGCGGCGAGGGGTCCCCGAACCCTCAATCCCGCCTGGTGGCTTGCCTGGGTTCCCTCCTTCCCTGGCCCACCTGCGCTGCTCTGGGAGCTGAGGTCTACGCGGTCCCGCTGCGGAGCAGGCGGTGAGTCCTCTCCCGCCAATGGGTGGACCGCGCTGGCTGCCGCGAGCTAGCGGAGCTGGTGCGTTCCTGAAAGAGCGGTCCTACAACCTTTGTTCTCAGTGCCTGGCTTCCCCTGAGGACGCGCGTGGGGCGCCTCAGCACTGCGTGCACGTGGTTGTCCCCAGTGATAAGCAGCAGCTCAGAAGGCCCGCCTGAGACTCTCCATCTTGGCAAGACTAAATGCACAGAGGGGGATTTGCGTTTGCTTTTAGGGGTCAGCATACCCTCGCACTCTCCCAACATTGGGGGAAGGGCGTGCCTTCAGGATTTGGAGTCTAAATCCTCAGGCATTCGGTGCTCAGAGCTGCCTTGTGCTGTCCGATAAAATGATATAATAGCCATTCGCCACGTGTGGCTATGTAAATGTAAATAAATTAAATAGAATAAAATTTAACATCCAGTTCTGCAGTCACACGAGCCACGTTTGAAGAGCCACTTGTATGCAGATACAGACCAGTTCTGTTTTTGCAGATACTTCTATTGAGCGTCGTTGATATAGGAGCCACAGTTACTAAGAGGACTCCTGAGGACCCCATGGAGCTTGCCATGGGTTATTGGGGCCAGACAGGGATCTTGGGGTCCATCTAGCCCCAAACTTAATTTTATACTTTCTCCACACCGTAGTCAGGAGATTCCTTTTAAAGCAAACACTTTGTTGTGTGTGGAATAAAATCCAAACTTTCAGGACCTGCAAGATCTCCCATAAGCTGGCTCCTGCCAACTTCTTCAAACTTACCCTACTCTACTCTTTCCTTCTCACTGATCTCTGGCCATACTTCCTCCTCCCTGTGTCTTCACCCCACTCGGTTCCCTCCCACTGCAGGGCCTTTGCACTTGCTCTTGCCTCTCCTTGGAAGGCTCATCCTCCAGCCTTCCAAATCACTGCTTCATTCCCACCTCTCAGTTCTCCACTAAGTTGTCAACTCGAAGGCCTTTCCTCTATTCCATCCAACATCAGCCTGCACTAGGAACTATAGAGTGAAGGGGTTTTTCTCTTTAGAGAACTTAACAGTCAGTAGTGCACTTGTTTTTCTGATTGTTTACTGACTGTCTCCTGTCTAGAATGTAAGCTTCATGAGGTGAGGCTCTTTGCCTGTGAACCTGTGTGTCCTCACTGCCGAGCTCACTGCCTGGTATGTAGTTGCACTATAAATAGTTGCTGGGTGAACTGAGGGAAGTGACAGTCACTTTCATAAAGATCGTGAACCCTGAGACTTACTGACAGACAGGTGGCACGGTGCTCTGCTGATGCCCCTTCAAAGCTCCCCGTGCCAGCATTAGCCCCGTTGTAAGTACCCAGCAGACATCATGGCACATAATGTGCTAAGGGCTGCTCCTGCTTGAGTTCAGGATTCCCTCATCCCTTCAGGAATAATTGTCTCCTCCTGCAGTCTCTCCCCTCCCTGTGTAATATCCAATTTGCAACTTGAATGATCTACATAAAATAGTTCTTTCCAAAACAGAATTACAATTACCTGGTAGGAAATAAGGATGGGGCAAAAATACAGCTTTCCAGGCCCCATCCATAAAGATTCTCATCCAGTAGGGTTTACATCCCTGAAGTCAGGTTTACTCTTGCACTGTATATTTACATAAGCTTATAAATGATTTTTTCTGCCTTAAACCAGTTTGTGTCAGATGTGTGATTGTGTGCAACCAATAGTATTAACTAAATCCTTTCAACACTATTTTTATATTGGCACTTATTCCCACCAGTCAAATAACATCTTTGGGGGGCAGAGATCATGTGTGTTCCCACCTTTGGTATCCAGTGCACACAAATAATTGGAAGCTGATTGTTGAACCAGTTTGCCTTTGCTGAATACAATGACCTTTCCCTCCCCTGGAGGGTATTTAATAGGTAACTTTAGTCATCTGAAACCAGGATGTAAACAACAAAGGTTTCCAAACAAATATAATTTTTATAGCATCAATTCACTAAAGCTTGTACAGTTTACATATAAAAGGCTCTCACATGTCCTCACCTGTGGCCTATATTCTCTTAACCCAGGCATAATTCTACAACGTTGTTTTGTGTGTGTGTGTGTTTTCTTTGGTGACAGGAAAGGAAAGGTTCAAGGCAGGTCCACCAGGAACAGTGACAGAAGGCACTAGCGAGAGGAGGTGGCTTCTCAGTTCCATAGAGTTGTCCAGGGACCCAGGTTTTCTCTTTTGCTGCTGGGCTCTTCTTTAGGTGTTGCTTGCATCTACACAGCACTAATATCAGGTTAGCATCCCAGCCATGGAAAGGGGGAACAAGGAAACAGAGGGAAAGCAAATCTATTTTTTTTTTTAAATTGAGACAGGGTCTCACTGTGTTATTTAGGCTGGTCTTGAACTCCTGGGCTCAAGCAATCCTCCTGCCTCGGCCTCCCAAAGTGCTGGGATTACAGGCGTGAACCTCTGTGCCTGGCCAAAGCAATTCTATTTTATGGAAGTGACATGAAAGTTGTATATAGTTCTTCTACTCACATTCCATTGGTAAAAACTAAGTCACACATTCACATCAAGCTACAGGGAGGGCCGGAAAATATTGTTTGTAGTAGGAAAGGCATGTATGTGCTCTACTAAAGCTCAGTGGGGAGTCTATTACTAAAAGGAAGAAGAGGAGAATGGTTCCTAGGGACCACTAACTAGAAGTCTAAATATAATACTCATTTTCTGTTGAAGTGCTTAGCCCGTAGTGGGTGCTCAGAAACTGTGAGCTGTTATTATTGGCACGTGTGGTTTCCATCTCTGCTTTCGTGGCAACTTCCTTACTTTTAGAGCTGAATATAGGATTTCAGAGACCAGGTTCAGAACCATGGAAACACTCCAGAACTTTTTCCAACTCCATACAACTCTGACTTCCTTAGCCAGCCAGGAAGTTGGCTTGTGATCTGGTAATCTGGTCCAGCACTATACAGAACTAATGGGTCTCCATAATTTGTCTTGGCCTCTCTCCCTTCATATCCCATTTACTGACTTCTGCCATCGTTATAATGATGCTTCTTGGGATGGCAGAGAAGGAATCGCATTCCATCCCCTCCGGCCAATGATTCTACATTCCAGGTATAGTTAATACTTTTGCTTTTCCATTGTGATTACAGATTTAAATATCTACTTGTTTCCCTACTAGATTGTGAATTCCTTGAGGACTAGAACCACCATTTATAATTCTTTGCAGCTCCAGTACCTGGAAAAGTGCCTGGCACTGAGAATTAACTCAGTTTGTTGAATTAAATATAATTATGGTTCAAATTTGTGCATAACCTTCCAAGAAGTGGAATTGAAACTAAATTTGGTACATTGTTAAAAGGGCACAAAGTGGCTTCAAGTTAGATTTTTAACTCAGTCAGCTATCTTAAAACAAGATCTCTTATCTTCTGAAAGCAGATAATGACCTTACACGTGGATTTTAAAAAGGAGGTGAATATAAAATTCATTATTTTTCAGTTAATCCCATTGCTTCACAAACTTACTCATATAACATTCTACACAACACTTAATGTTCATGATTGCCCCAAAGAACTCTTTAAATTCATATTGCTGCTAGTAATATTTGTAAACACTTCAACTCTATTATTATTATTATTATTTGCAGCAAAGGAGAATTATGGGGATCATTTATTTCTTCCTAGTCTGCATACTCATCACTCTGCTTACGTGTCCTGAACTCTGGGCCTTTGCTCAGCAGTTTCCTCTGCTTCCAGCATCTGCCAGTTGAAGCCCTGTCTGTCCTTTACAATTCCACTCAAACACTACCTCCTCCAATGAGCCTCCCCTGAGTCCCAACCAGCAGCTTACCCTCCCTCCTTGATGCCCACAAACTCTGCTATTTGTATCTCGCCTATTTACTTTTATTGCACTTTTGAAAATCTCTCCTATTGTGCAAAAAGGCTCATAGAGGTGAACAGCTTTAAATCCAGATGGTCGGGACTCCACCAGTGAGTGACTTTGAGCATTTTATGTGACCTCTTTAAGCCTCATCATTCTCATGGATAAAACTGAGATCCTAACATCACTTCTCACGTTGTTTTTGTGGGATTTATTTATTTATTTAAAATGCATTATAACACACACTTACCACCTACATGCCGGGCACTGTTCTAAACACTTTATAAATGCTAAGTCATTTACCCTCATGAGTTATTATGCCATTGTGCTCAGCTCCAGATCTACCTTTTTCTACTCTGGCTTATAGCTGAAGCTTGGGGCCTACAAACCAGTTCTTTGGCAGCAGGGTTCCTGTTGATTTCTGCCAATAGGGGGCACTAGAGGGAGACTGAGTGCTGGAGAGGGGAAATTTTCTCCTTTCTGTTGGCTTACTGTTGGCTCCTTGCAGCATCCTCCCAGTAACAGCCATTTACCTGGCATCAGCCATAGGGCCCAGCCTCCAGCCCCCTTTCATAGCCTAGAATCAGGCTTCCCAGGCTTCTGCAGACTTAGCAGCAAGTCTTTTTCACCTCAGGTCCAGATTCTGATGGTCCAACCACTTCCCTTTGTTCCTCTAGCCCTGGGGATGGAAACTGCGTCCTCACGTCCTCACATTACCACCTGTGATTGCCTCAGCACCCCTTTTCTTCTCTTCCAGCCCTCCAGCACCTGGGAAACCAGTTCTTTATATCAACTTCCTCTTGTTGAGATATACTTTGTGTGGTTCTGTCTCCTCAACTGGACCCATCTGTTATAGATCAGTACCATTATTATCCTCATTTCACAAATAAACAAAATCCAGGGAAGTTAAATAACTCACCTGAAGTGGGCTGGGATTTAAATCCGGGCTCAGGTGCCATGGTAGTCCCAGGACACCAGGGGCTCGTGTTTGTAAAGTGCTTGGTCAGGCCTGCTGCATGGCCAGCACTCAATGAACAGTGGTTGTCTGATCTCCAATCATCATCCTCATCACCACTCTTCAGCCTTTCATCCTACCCAACACCTAGGACAGGGTGTGTGCAATCAATGCCTACTAAATTGAGTGT